CCCCCCCCCCACCATACACACACACATTTCCAACTGGTTTTCTGTACCAACGCACTACGCAGGAACAGATAGCTACACAGATGTAGACAAAGTAGCCTAATGTAGAATTTTATGCAATTTAATGGAAAAAAGAAGAAGGGGAGAAAAGTCAATCGTATTGTTTTGAAACTGGTCTCCAGTATGATGAGAGTGTATTATAGCACCAATGATACATGGTGTATGTTACTGGTACTAAGTTCCGCATTAAAAGGGATAGTATCATAAAATAATATACATGCAATCCTTTGCTGTGGGGGTGGGTGGGTAAGGTTGCTTTTTAGTATAAACACCAAAAGGAATGTTTTTCTACGTCTTATGTCAAGAAGACAAACCTAAATTAGATCAATGAAGGGGTCAGTGCCTACAAATAGGCCGACATGATATTTTGTACTCAAATCATAGCCCTTCATAGCGTAGGTTCCCATGATAAACTTATGCTTGCAATGTCTCACGTAGTATTTGTACGTATTTCTCCCTCACACTATCCCCTTGTCGCAGGCGTTTTCTCGTCTTTTCTTTCCCTTTCAAGTGCCTGTACTTGACGTCAATTAGCATGGGGCACTTAGAAGCTATGCTGCGCCTGCAGTATTTACGTACATGTGTTACTTTTAATACCCACAACCGTTGCCGACCACTCATTCTACATGAATACAGCTGTATAAAGTAACTGCGGAGCAAGTAGGATTGGTTTCTTATAGTCAGCCTTTTCTTATAAATTCCTGTTATTCTGTTTTTTCCAGCTCGAATTTCGATCAGGAGGAACGGCCACCCATTGAATTTGTGGAGAGGTAGGATTGTTCTACACGCCTGCACTAAAAAACTGTTACACCGCCCGGCGCTTTAGTAAAGGGAAATAAATACAGCAGCACCATGCAGTACGAGGAAGATCCCGATTGGGACGAGGAGGAAGAGATGACGACGACGGAGCGAGAGCTCGCGGACGACGCTCAATGGAAGTTAATTCAAAAGAATACCTTTACCAGATGGGCTAATGAGCATCTGAAGACCGTCAACAAGCAGTTGGCGGATCTTGAATCGGATTTCTCTGATGGATTGCGACTTCTTTCGCTTATTGAAGTGCTGTCAGGAAAGAAATTCAAACATGTCAACAAGCGACCCAACTTCAGAACTCAAAAGCTTGAGAATGTCACCATGGTCCTCAAGTTTTTGGAGGAAGACGAAGGAATTCGTATTGTCAACATCGGTAAGTGAATTGATTTTCAAAATTTAATTTATGAAAGTTAGATCTATCTTTATTTTGCTACTTTTTGTCTTGTCGTATTCAGAGCACCCTCAACAGGTGGGCCCATTTCTCGCTTGTCATGCGGAAGGAAACCTCCACTCACGGGGCCCAGCTCAAACTGTTGTCCGTCACAGTCCAGTGATTTAGTAGATCGCATCCTTGCCGTGGGCTTGCCCTGTCGTAGCTTCAGGTCGATATGTTTTCAATATAATATTGTCAGTTCAACATCTCAGTGATCTGGGCCCTTATGGTATCTAATGTGGAGTAAAAAATTTGGTTTTGGAGAGGTCTAGATTTGGGGAAATTAGACTAGAGATCTAATCTAGATCTAGATCTATAGGTAAATTTTTACTTTCACTCCCGCACACAGATATGCACTGTTTCTTCAGGGGTCAAACTGCAGTACTGTTTGCTGCAGATCACACATAAAGCCACTAAAACTGTCGCAAATCAATTATTTTCAAGACAATTTCAAATCTAACTGTAAAATATCAAATTATGGGTAAAAACAGGGGGGCATGCCCCCCTGTAACCCCCCAGATTTTCTTTTACCCCAGTGGGGCA